GATATAATGACGCATGTATTTACACATACTCAAATTATACTACTTAATTGGAATAAGTTCAACACATTGGCGCTATCGCGCCTATTTTATATTTTTTATATAGATCTGAATCAGATTGTCTTTCAAATAGGTGTATTTCACACCGTTGTTGAACTTGTCTTCATTGACATTCATCTGTCAATTATAGGGCATTCTTGCCCTTCTATCCTGTGTCTTTGAGCTCCATTAAAATGGAAGACGGAGCCACGCACATGCGCCTTAGTTATTGCACACTGGCGCATACACAACCGCGCATGCGTCATTATGCTTGTATATATGCGCCTATTCGCGTCATCACGCCAATGGTTCCATACCTCTGAAGATGTGCGTGCGCACGTAACGCGTAAGGAGGAGCCTGGACGTCGAGACGCTACGCCGCCGGAGCCACGTGGAGGCCCGGCGGCCACTATTCAGAGTGTCAGGGTTAGTTTGTCTTGCTGACACATCTTTATGATACCTGCCTACTTTGAATTGGATACTATAATTTTTAATAAAGCTGCTTTTTATAACCTACTACACTATGGGTGTCCTTCCCTAAAACTCCCCTGAGGAGCTTTTGCTTGCAGAATCCTGATCTTGGAATCCTACACCTTATTGGAGAGAGGAGGATCTGTTGCTGCATCCACAGAGGAGGGATCCACCATTCCTGTAACTGGACCAGCTTTATCCCCTTCTGGATTGAGGATCCATGAGCTCTAGATGCACACTGCGTTTTTATATATATATACACTGCATGTTGAAATGTGTTTTTATTACAAAATATATGAAAAATATTTTTAAAAATACATTTCAAATATACTGCATGTCTTTAAAAATACAAATCTACATTTTTGGAATGCATTTACAAATATATGTAAAATGTATGTTAATGACTTTTTATATGTTAAAAAAAATCTGAATATATTTAAAAAAAATATTTTTAAAAATATATTTTTTTATATTATATATACTGTATATTGAATATGGCCAAAATTGTAGCATTTCAAATATATGTCAATATATTTGCGAAGAATATTTTTAAAATATATTTCAAATATATTTTTCTTCCATATGGGAATGTTGCAGGGCCAAAGGTGCTGCTGCACTCAGGCAGCTAATGGACTATACAACTACTCTTGAGACCTCAGGGTGCCAGAGCTGAGGGTCTGGATGGACCTTGCTGGAATCTGCTTACAGAACCTCACTACAAGGGACATGGTCTGGAGAGGTGCAAACTCACTCACTGGACTGTGTCCCGAAAGAAGCTGTTATGTTCTCTATATAGAAAATCTTTACATTTTCAAGTTCACTTCAGGTCTACTTTAACAGTTCTCCTGGGTCCTTGTTTTATTAATGTCATTTAATTTTTGTCCTCTTGATATCTATAAACCATACACTCAGTTTGACATGGCACAAATTCATTTTAGATGTTTGCATGGTAAATCATCACAGATCTAAACCACGATGACTGTCAGGGATATATTTCATCCAGATCTGCTATTTGGCCTTAATGTGTGTAACAAGATTTGAAAACAGCCCTGCAGCCATTATAGCAAACCACACACCTGTTAAAAGCACTTAGAATAGAAGCATAGAAGAAAAAATGATAGTGTCCTGTTTTTCAAAGTAATTTCCACGAAGGCAGTGCAATGGTATACATTAAGGAGTAACTTGATGATCTTTTTCTGCCCTGTAAGCTGTTAATGTGTTTGAACATTATACGCAACTAGATACAGTATGTCTTTAATTGCACAATACATTATATAATTTGAATTCAGATAAAGAAAAATTATATATTTTTTTTCTTGATTATACTGTATATCCCAAAATTTCTGAGAATGGTTGTATGCTGCATGATAGTCTACAACTGCCAATGTCAGCCATGAGAACTGGTAAACATTTGACTTTGCTTATGTATGTTACCTAAATCTATTCAAACTTTTTATTTCTAGAAGGTCAAGACTGCAAGCATACAGAAGCAATGGAGTTTTTTTACATTTACCTTTTTCTCCTGAGGATTCATAGCCATGTCCAGTTAATCTACTAATGAGCCTATTTAATGGCTCCGAAAGCAAATATTAGGGACTGTAGATCCACATGTACCATACTTGAAAATTGTATTATTATTATTATTATTATACAGGATTTATATAGCGCCAACAGTTTGCTCAGTGCTTTGTGACTTATTAAACCCAATAATAAACATATAACATACTATAGCTTGTGGTAGCTGTGTTTGTTCTTTCCTTTCTGGCTTTTTACATTTATTTTTCATCTAGTGGTCTTGACACCAGCATACTCTTGTCTTAGGGTGACAGCACTCAATCACTTTGCTGTATCTATGGAGTATTGTCACCCTAGAACAAGAAGGGTGTTATGACTACAGAGTGACTCCCCCTTTCCTCATCTCTTTAACATAGGCAAAATGTTCTGACATCCACAAAGAGAACTGGGAACAATGCCAACTGATAAAAATCAGCAGAGAAAGATGCACATGAAATTTGCAGCTCAATCAATTTATGGCAGGATCAACAGATCAATATTTGCATTTTTTGAACCAATGTATTAAAACATTTTCAATGGTATATTGGCCAACTGGAATCAAATAAGAGATGTTAAAGTGCTATTAAACCCAGAAAACAAAAAATGTAATATATTTTAGCTTACTAGTCTTTGAATGTGGTGGCTGCATTAGTTCTCTTTTTTTAGATTTTATTCTCTCTGTTTCACCTGGTGGTCTGGCCAGTAACACACCTCCTGTATTAGAGTGCCCTCACTCCATTGAAGGAGCACAAGGGCACCCTTTGACAGCAGCATTATGAGTCTGGGTGGAGTATTAGATGTACCAGCAAACTACTTTACTTACAACCTGCATACATGCAAACAAACATAAGTCATTAGATCAGATGTGTAGGGCCTCAGGCCAGGTCTGCTGTTTATACTTTGAGATGTCTTATATAATTTGTGGTTTGACTCCTGTGCTTTTCTTTGTGTAATCATGTAATCAAACATGTGCATATTATTTAGCAATTTTCAAACACTACAATAACAGCTTGATTGAAGATGGTATTAGATTAGTGACGAGAGAGTTTTCCTGTAGAATATGTTGATCAAATAATTGGTGGACATACTGTACATAAGTCTACAATATCTTAATAATGCAATTGCTGATTTCAGTTTCTAAACTGGGAAAAGATAAATCTGTATAAAGGAACTAAGTGGAGAAATTGAAGACTGAATTATATGTGTGTGAGTAATATGAATTCAAATGAATAAGGTATGTTTCAGAGAAGTAAGAATAGTTTAGCAAGTCAGTTGCTTCTCACAAATATTCTTGAGGTTTCAATTTTTTTTATTGAAGTTTAAAAATAATAATTTTCAGTATTGATAACAATTGTGTCTTTGTACACTTTACAAGCAGTGAAAATATGCATAAAAAAAAGGAATGTAATACACAATGCCAATATGTATACAACACGTAGGACTCAGCATAGGTGCAGATACTAAACAATGCTGGCCTTGTGGTATATTTTCATATAAAAAATGTAAATGCAATGAAATAAAGAGTCCTTAAAAGAGAAAATGCAACAACTACCAGGATTCATAAGTGAACACAATGAACTGGTGAACAAATAAACAAGAAAATCTTAAAATACTATCTAGGACATATTGTCTGTTCCTCACATCTCAGGTGAAAGCTTCTAGTGTTATGCCAGGGGATACTACATTTATCTATGTTGTCTGAAAACAATCTATGATTCCCACTATTTATAGAAGAGCTTGGGTTTACCATCGTTATGAGCCATGATTTGTTCATGGGGACAGGCTACCTCTACTTGTCTGATAATGTCCCCCAGGCGAGAAATTACATTGAACTTCCAGTTGCATAGTACAGTTAATCTAGCTGCCAGGAAAATATGCATTGTTATTGGTCTATAAGTGCTGGTCTATGCTTAAGATCGCCTGCTCAAAATTATCTTTAATAATCACACCTGTAACAGTAGATAGTATGATTTCCAAAAGCTATGAAAGCGTGGACGCACCAAGAGCATGTAAGACAGCATCTTCACCTGACCACACCCCCTCCAACACTCATTAGACCCTTGTGGTTGAAAATTTTCTGTGATATAAGATATAAGGTGAGATACTATCTAACATGTATTTTTTGTGCTATTTCCCAGTATCTGTCTGATTTTGTGTAACATTGGTTATATTTTATAGATTTTTTTCCATTGGTCTTCACTAAAGGAAGCTGGGAGTTCTAATTCCCACCTTTGAATGTGGGATGATTTTTCAAAGACAATTTTTTATTTGCAAAAGATTTTAAAACAAGGAGATGTGTGTCATTCCAGAAATTCCAAGGTCTACGGGGTATCTTGACAGGAGTGTTGTTTGAGAAGCGATGCTGTTCTAGAACAGATGTAGAAATCAGTGCTTGGTAGGGAAAATTCCTGGGCAAATGTGTTTAATGGGATGAATTTTCCATTATTCAAAAGGTTAGCCACCCATGTTGTGCCTTTCCTTTGTCAGTTCATTAAGGGAAGATCTAGAATATGCATCTTAAGGTGATGATAAAGGTGTTGAAAGATCAGTCAAATCTGTAGCAGTGAGTCTTAACCTCCCTAGCGTTCTGATTATGTCCATATTTCTGTGCTCAAAGCGGTACTTTTTTTGCATGGAAATATGTATTTTTTTTTATTGTAGGCCTATAATTTTTAGGAATAACTCACTGAAATCTGTCCGAACAAGAGTCTAGTAAACATCCCGAGTATGATAAAATTTGAAACACAAAATCATAAATTATAATTTAATAAATACTCATAAAAAATAATAATATAATAATAATAATTTAATTCAATAATATAATCAAACCAAAAACACTGAAATTTGAAATATAGCGCCAAGTTCGCACATCACTGAGCAAAGTTGCAAAATCGTTTTCAGTGTCTGATGGCGAATTTCCCCACGAATTATTATCACTCAATTCTGCAAGTAGTCCTGATTTACTATCGCTGTTCTCTAGCTGGTCTAAGACCGCTTTTGACCTAAAGGGACGCTTTTTGGACGCCATGGACATTTCTCAGTTTCCAGGCAGAAAGAACAGTAAAAATGCAGGCAGGGCACAGGACAAAGCACTAGGGACAAAATGTATGTGAAATGGTTTGATACAGTAATGTTTTACTATGTGATTTTGGTGATTTTTGTGAATGTCACTTTGTCATTTTCAAATTTCCCGCCGTTCCGTCCCCCGTACGTCCCGATGTTCGCAGAGGACGGAACCCAGATGACAGATGCCGGAATCCACCAGATTACATTGCCGGGGACACTGCAGGAGGGACTTCGCGGGAGCGCAGAACAAGGTAAGTGATCGAGGGATCGCGGGAGCAGCACCGCATGGTAAGTCCGAGTGTAGCTCGGGGTTACCGCTTGTGGTACTGAAACTTTACCCCGAGCTACACTCGGGAATACCGCCAGGGAGGCTACGGAACAGAAATGATTCCAGGTATCAGTAACTACTTGAAGAATGAGATGAATGGGGTGTTGCCAAAACGCCTGAAAAGGAGCTAATAATGTTGAGTATAGAGTATTAAGATACATCCAATAACTGTCAATTAAGGCCCAGTGTTTCAAAGGTGATGTCTGGAGCCAGAAATTAGTCTGTTCTAAAATTCTTGCTCTGCAGTAATCCTGCAACATTGGTAGCCCCATTCCACCAGCTGGAATTTGTATTTTAATAAAATGGAATAGGAACATCTTGGTTTTCTATCTGCGCATATAAATTTAGAGAGTTGTGATTGTAAAGTTTTTTTTAAAAAAGTAGTGTGTAGATATATAGGTAATGCTGGAAAATATTATTATATTTTTGGTAGTATTAGCATCTTGTAAATAGCTAATCTGCCTGACAAGGAGAGGTAGAAAGTTTTAAGTCTATCCAGTTCTGTATTGTAGGAATCAGTGGAATAAAGTTAGCTTTAAATACGTTGGCATTTGGGGTGGTATATACTTTATGCTCAAATATTGTATGGAGTTATTGGAGTAGGGAAGTGTTGAACTTGGTCCAATACATCATGGACAGCTGGAAGTGCAATATTTGGCTCTGAGAGGGGAAAAAAACATGTAATCTGCAAAAAGTGCAATAGAGTGGGCTTGTTTCTGAGAAGAAATGCCTCTTATATTTGGATGGGATCTAATTTTATTGGCCAGTGGTTCCAATAATAGGACAAAAATTACCAGAAAGAAAGGACAGCCCTGTCTTGTTTTGTTAGTTATACTGAAACTATCAGAGAGTATGCCTTCCGTAAATACTTAAGCAGAGAGGGTGGTTTGTAATGTGTATAGCTAAACCTAACACTCATGTAATACCAAATTATGTAAGACATGTTTCAAATATCCCTAATCTATCCTGTTGAAGGCCTTCTCTGTGTCTAGAGATAGAAGCAGAGAAGGAGACTTCACGGATTCTGCTAAGTGTAAAAGGTTGAGAATTCTGCAAGTTACGTTAGGTGCTTACCGATCTGTCACGAAACCCACTTGGTCCTGTTTTACTGAAGTAGGAAAAAAACAGGCAATTCTGGCAGCGATTATTTTAGCATAAATATTTAAGTCTATATTTAGAAATGAAATGGGTCTTAAATTTTGAGTCAGGCTTCTTACTGTTACAATCGGTCTACTGACGATTTTTGGAAATGGCTGATGTTGCACAATGCTCTAGGCAGTGAAACTGCTGTGTTCTGAAGCCCAGGGATGATGCAATCTACTCTGGTTTTCTGCTGTGGACAAGAGCTCAGCTGCTATGTGCCCATACGCCTTGGCTGCTGGCCCCGCCCCACCCCCATCCTCACATATATTCTTATGTAGCTTTCTTAGCAAATTATTCATTTGTAAAGATATAGCAATACCGCTTTCTAACAATCTTCAGAGGCAAGTTTCCTTTGATGTTTCAGGTAAATAACCATGCTGTAATGCAATGTCACCACACAACCTCTTCAGCCTTTACCAGTACTACAGCTCACTTGATTAAATTGATAATTAGAATTACAAAATTAACCCGAGGCTATCCAAGTTATCACCAACCTCCAGCACCTATACTTCATTAGGCCAGGTTCACACCTGTGCATTTCTTTTTGTGTTGTGCGGGAACAGAGTGCACGCCATTTAACATGGTTTCCTATGGATCACATTCACATCTATGCGTTTTTTTTGAGCGCACTTTTTTTGGAAAGGGTCAGGGACTTCTTTTCCAACTGCAGTTTACATTTTTGGTCCAATAGACTTCAATGTAGCTGCATATAAAACGCAAGTGCTGCATTTTGCGTGCGTTTTGTTAACATTTTAGATGCGTTTTGCATTTTTTACATGCTTCACTACTAACACCTCCCCTTGACAACAGACTTCCCATACTGCCCTACAAACCAGGAAGTCAGATACAAGACAAGGCAACATGGTGCAAGCAGAGGTGCTCATACAGCAGGTGAGGCCCCATATAGCCATGCCGACCCAGAGCAGAAGAACAAGTCAAAACAGCAACAGGGATGGGTGGAAATTGCCAAAGAACTCTATTCTAGCAAATGGGATTCCTTTACCAAGAAACAGAAAGAAAACAAAAGTGAGTACTATCTGTATTATCTGGTTTTAGCATAGCTAATGTTTGCTGCACCTTTTTTTTTTTGATTACCAAAAAAAACCACAAGTCCAAAATATAATTACTTTTTTTATTATCTTTATTTCTCCTAAAATATAAAAACAATGTTTTTTACCATAAGAAACAGTTTTGCTAACTAAAAATGCTAATTTCACAAGCTTACATTGCAGTATTGTTGTTCACAACAGCAGTAGCACAGCAGTAATTTTGTCTTCCAAACCAGGACCAAAAATATTAAATAGCGTCAAGTTGCCATGGCACCTGACCATTTGGAGACATGAAATAGGCACAGAATGAATCCCTGATAGCGGTACCACTCCTGCTGCCCCGAGGTGCTGGTAAATATGCACTTGACATGTTATGGTTAATTGTGTCCTTGTACTGAAATCTATACCATTCCCAAATAAAATTATGCAGGGCACATGCTGCTTTAACAGCTTTTATAGCATGCTGCATGTTTAGGTGGATGGAAGTATGCAACAAATGCCACTTTCTGGCAAGGATGACAAAAGCACACTCCACAACTCTATAGGTCCTAGTGAGGCGATAGTTAAATACCTTCCCCTTAACATCCAAGAAGTGACTGGAAAAGGGCCTTAGCAGAAGTTGACTGAGGGCAAATACCTCATCACCTACAAATACATATGGTAGAGCAGGACCCCTTGTTCCTGGTAGCGGACTGTTTGGTGGCAGGGCCAGGTCATTGTTTTGAAGCATCTGCCCAAATGAGGAGTGTGAGAAAATACTTAAGTCTGAGCTGCTCCCATAACACCCAATATCTATGTAAGTGAAACGATAATTGGCATGTGCTCCCCAGAGATACATGGAACCTACACCACGCTTTAAAGAGCCCCAGTACCTTGAGCAACAAGATGCCTCCCAGGAGGAGTGAGTTTATAAGATCCTGTAAATTTTTTGTACAATTTTATGCCATAATATGTTGACAACAATGCCATTTTGTGTTTCTTTATAAAAAAAACTTGAAAAGTAAAAAAAAAAGTGTTCTATAGTTTTATTGCATTTATTATTTTATTGCACAAAAGTGAATGTAAAAAAACAAAATAAAAAGTTTTTTTGCAATTCAATATATGTTTTGATTATTACTTGTAAAGTTTAAAGTATAAACACTTACCTTAATGTGATCGTCAGCCTGTCTACTGGTAGGATGGAGTCCCTGACGAATGTGTTTTGTCGCTCCAGCTTGCTGCTGAGGAGACCCAGCCATTCATCAAAACTGTTAAAAAAAAGGGTTAGTGAATTAACCTCCCTAGCGGTATGATTATTTCAGATTTTTGGTGCTAAAAGCCCATTATTTTGCATGGAAATATGTAGTTTTTTTTATTGTAGGCTGTAATTTTTAGGAATAACTCACTGAAATCTGTCCGAACAAAAGTCTATAAAACATCCCGGGTATGAAAAAATTTGAAACACAAAATCATAAATTATAATTTAATAAATAATCATAAAAAATAATAATATAATAATAATACATTTAATTCAATAATATAATCAAACCAAAAACACTGAAATTTTAAATAGAGCGCCAAGTTCGCACATCTCTGAGCAAAGTCGCAAAATCGTTTTCAGTGTCTGATGACGAATTTCCCCACGAATCATTATCACTCAATTCTGCAAGTGGTTCTGATTTACTATCGCTGTTCTCTAGCTGGTCTAAAACCACTTTTGACCTAAAGGGACGCTTTTTGGACGCCATGGACTTTTCTCAGTTTGCAGGCAGAAAGAACAGACAAAATGCAGGCAGGGCACAGGACAAAGCACTAGGGACAAAATGTATGTGAAATGGTTTGAAATTTCCCGCCACCGGTGGCGCCCGTACGTCCCAACGTCACAGGGACCGGAACACAGAAGCCGGATGCCGGCATCGGCCGGAGGAGATGGCCGGGACGCTGTGGGGGACACATCGCGGGAGCGAAGGACAAGGTAAGCTCTGCAGGGACTCCCTATGCAGCGCCGCATGGTACTGACATTTTACCCCGAGCTACACTCGGGAATACCGCTAGGGAGGTTAAAAAAAAAAAAAAAAAATTAAAAAGAAAAAGAAGGTGAAAAGAAGAAAAACAAGAGAAGAAACACAAAGTAAGAAACCATAAGCCAAAAAAAAATGAAAGGAAATGAGGGGTAGCAGCAGTAGGGGGAGGTTACGACAAACATACAAGGATATGCTACAGGACATGTTCTAAACTTGTGCTTGCCTTTTTGGAGATATCCGTGTGTATCAGAAACATTTTTCCTCATGTGCTCTCAGATCGTTATATATGATCCAAAATTGTCCTCTGCGTCTATTGGCTATCACCGGATGTATCCAATATCTGTGTCTTCTCCTCTGCTCCTCTTCTTCCTCTTCCTGCATGACTGTAGTTGTCAATGTGGCAATTGCCAGGGATAAGGAGATTGCAGCCATGATGGTGTCAGATCTGCAGAATGCACAGTCTACAGACAGGAATTACGAAGTAAAAATGCTGTCTGACACCCTGTGACATCAAACCAGTGTCTTTTTCTTATTGGCAAACCAAAATAAAACAAAAAAAAACCCAAAATAAAACGCATCAAAAACGCAGGTACAAAAACACAAAATGCACCACAAACCGCACTGCAGAAGTGGATCAAACGCTAACTGCATAGGTGTGAACCTAGCCTTAAAGGTTTTGTCATTACCCTCAAACACACACACGTGCTGACTGTATACTATTAGGGAGATTCCATTTTGATGTATGTCCCAGAGATTCAATAAGTTAGAGGAAATGTCCTGCTTTGCCTGGAACAGGTGCCCTCATTGTAATATTTGGCCTCACCTCTTGTTCTATAGACAATGCTAAAATGATGGATTTTTTCTGACTTCCTTCTCAGTGATAGTGGCTAGAAGAGTGGATTTCCCCAATGGGGACAGCAATAAAAACTTAACATGGGTTTAAATCTTCCCCACTCTCGCCCCCCTCAAAAAAAAAAAGGTTTAGGGATAAACTATCAATTTAAATTGTGTTTCTCCTATTTTATTCTTTCTAGACATGCATTAACCACTTTCCTTCTGGAGAATTTTTAACTGTTTTAAATGATTTTACACACGTTAAAATCAGCATTTTTGGATATAAAATTACTTAAAGCCACAGAACAAATATACACAGAGCTCTGATGAAGAGGGTACATCCCTTGAAATGTGTAAGCAGCACCCCATTGGATGGATGAGATTACAGCGTTTTTTATCCTGTACTTTTGTGAGTACATTGGAATTTGTTTTGATAATAAAAGGTCTTATGGTATTGCACTAGGCCAGTGAGCCTTCTTCATTTACTCTTGTTTCAGTGTTGTCCAGGCTCCCTTTGGTGATTGTGTTTTATCTGGTTCCATAAGAGGGAAGAGGAGCTGTTTCTGGATCATTTACAGCATTGAAGGTTCTAAGCATTGATCTTACAACATTGAAGGTTCTTCCACGTGTAGCGCTGATAAGTTTTGTTTTAATATTGCATCTGAAAATAAAACTTGGTGTCCTGATTGGGAGACTGAAGACAGAAAAATATTTTAGTTTTGCACCACAGCTATGAAGCCTCTATGGACAGGACATATTTTCTGAGCAATTAAAAGGGCATATTGCAACTTGGAAAAACAAATGGTGTCTTTTTTACAGATTTTCAGCACTCATTTGAATCCTTTATTGGATAGTTCACAATTTAATAGTATTGATTTTTGGCCTTTGAAGTCTTTATTGAAAAAGCCACAATTTCTAAGGTAAGCACAAGCAGATTGCATCTGAAATAGAAAATTAGTGTCTTTTTTCGGATTGAAGACAGATAAATGTTAGTTTTGCACCTCTGATCTTAAAGTAGCTTCATATTTTTTTCTAAAATAACAAACATTTTACAAATTTGCATCATAGCTAGTAAGCCTTTTTGGACAGGCCACAATTTCTGAGGAATAAAGCAGGTATAATGCATCTTGAAATCAATAATTCCTATTGTTGGTCTTTAACCCCCCTGGCGGTATTCCCGAGTGTAGCTCGTGGTTAACTTTCAGTACCAGAAGCGGTAACTCCGAGCTACACTAAGGATTACACTGCAACACTTCTCTACTGATCCCTCGAGCACTTACCTTGTCCTGTGGTCCTGCAATGTCCCCCCTGCAGCGTTCCGAGCCATGTCCTCCAGCCAATGCCGGCATCCATCTTCCGAGTTCTGTTCCCTGCGAGCGTTGGTACGTATGGGGGGCGGAACCTGTGGGAATTTAAAAAAATGTAAAAATTTGACATTCACTCAATACACTAAAATCTGATAGTATTACATTACTGTATCAAACCATTTCACATACATTTTGTCCCTAGTGCTTTGTCCTGTACCCTGCCTGCATTTTAACCGTTCTTTTTGCCTGGAAACTGAGAAACATCCATGGCATCAAAAAAGCATCCCTTTAGGTCAAAAAAACGGTTTTAGACCAGCTAGAGAACAGTGATAATAAATTGAAATCACTTGCAGAATTGAGTGATAATGATTCGTGGGGAAATTCGTCATCAGACACTGAAAACGATTTTGCGACTGAGCTCAGTGATGTGCGAACTTGGCGCTCTATTTCAAATTTCAGTGTTTTTGGTTTGATTACATTATTGAATTAAATGTATTATTATATTATTATTTTTTATGATTATTATATTATAAATTATGATTTCGTGTTTCAAATTTTATCATACCCAGGATGTTTACTAGACTCTTGTTCGGACAGATTTCAGTGATTTATTCCTAAGAATTACAGGCCTACAATAAATAAAAACATATTTCCATTGAAAACAATGTACCGCTTTGAGCACAGAAATACTGACATAATCAGACCTCTAGAGAGGTTAACTGAAAAATTAGTTACAGATTTGCAGCAGAATTAAAGTCTTTTTTGGACAGACCATAATCTCTGTGGGAGAGCGAAAAACATTGAACCAGGAGATAAAACATTGTTTTCTTCTAAAAATTGTTGTCATTTTTGGACCACAATTATACATCCTGTATGGACAGGCCATCATTTCTGAGTGACTGAGTTGACCCATTGCATCTGGAATACAAAATCAATATCGTGTTTCAGAGACTGAAGATTGGGAAAATTTGCACAATAGCTCCTAATACTATTTGGATAGGCTGCAACTTCTGAGTGACAGGCCAGTCATATTGTATTTGGTAATAAAAAATATACTCTTTTGTTTTTAAAAAAATAAACATTGTACAGCATTGCACCACACCTTACCTTAATTAAATAGGTCACATTTTGTGAGGAAGAGCGTAAGTCGATTGAATTTTTTAATACAAAATTAGGTTTCTTTTTCACAAACTGAAGGACACATTTTACAGATTTACTTCACAGTGTTTAATACTTTTCAGGCAGACCTTTATTTCTGACAGCGAGAGCAAGAAGATTGAAGCTGCAAGTGAGAAATTGTTGTGTGTTTTGTCCCAAGAATGAATGAAGATGGTACATTTTAACAGATTTGCAACACAGCTTCCAAGCCTATTTTACAGGCTGTTGTATGTGAGGGCAAGCAGATTGTATCTCAGCAAAAATAACCCAATTTTTATTGTAAGAAGCAAATAGGTAAAAATTTAAAGAGTTGCAGCAGTTTGTTTTCTGAGTGATAAAACAGACAGATTGTTTCTGGGGTTAACACTTTTATTCTTATTAATTTAAATGATAGAAAAACCCTATTTTAGAGTTGCATTTTTTTCTGCTTTGAAAACATAAAAAAGGAGGTCAGCAATAAAAAGAAATGGGCAGCTTGCAATACAGAAATATATAATGCCCAAACAAGCCAAGAATGAAAATAATTTAGCACCTCTTAATATAGAATATTAAAAGCTTAAAGAATGCTCTAAACACATTTATAATGTGCAAAAAGCATCCACGATACTCAAAAAATGAAAAATAAATCAGTGTAAAAGTCTAATGCAAAAAAGTCCAATCACATATTTTGGACTTTTTTGTATTGGATTTTAATTACATTGATTTATTTTCATTTTTGAATATTGTGAATGCTTTTTGCACATTATAAATGTTGTGTTTAGCACATGCTTTAAGCTTGTAATATTCTATTCAGAAGCTCTACATTATTTTCTCTTTTGATTTTCTGCTTTTAAACCTATTGGGATAGGCCACTATTTCTGAAAAAGTGAACAAGCAGATCTTGTCAATAAATATGAAATAAGATTGTACTTTTGAAGAGCCAGACTATAACAATAATAGTAATTTGCTGCAAAAAAATCAAATGCTGATTAATAGGAGGCAAAATTGGCACAAAGTAGGTCTATTTCAGCTAGAAATATGACAAAAATATCAGACACAGATGATATGTAAGAAAAATTAGGAGACAGAGAACTGGCTAGTTTTATCCAGAACTATTAAGTGAAACTGTATTTTGTCAAAGACTCTATACACAAATTGTATAGATTTGCTGATCAGAACATCATCGGTTTGAATGTGAGACAATTGTAGAGGCAGAGAGCAGGAATATAACAGCCCAAAATATTACATTAATGTTCTTTTCCTAAGACACAGAATGTACAGAATTGCATCTATTTTAATATAGGGCAAGTTCAGAAGCAAAGAGATGTCATATTTTATCTGGATATAATCACTGAGACTAGACTGTAATTCTTTCATTCATTCTATTAAAATAATTGCTTTACTGTACAGAATTTCATCTTTTTTTAATTGGAGGCAATTTCAGAAGCAGAGATCAGGCATATTTCAGAGAGAAAAATGTTAACACAAAAGGAAAATTTTGATCAGACTTTACTGGTACAGACAGAAAAAACACTGAATTACATTGTTATTTTATAAAAGCTGTATACAAATTAAAAAGATTTGATGCACAGCATCTTATCTTTTAAATAGAATTATATTGTAAAAGCATAGAGATGTCACTTTTAGCCAAAAA